AGACAGGCCCTATGGGCCTACGCTGATAGACGGTCCTATAGCCTATAGCCGGGTAGGGAGAGGCCCTAGAGGCCGAAACAGAAACGGTACCGGTCAGTCAGTCAGTCCGGTCTAGGTCGGTCTAGGCTAGTGCTAGGGTATAGATAGGATGGGGACATTGGTCCTGGGCTTTTGGCAGTTGACAATTTGTGGTGGAAGTTGCTGCGCACACGGTATCAGTTCGTGGTTGCTGATTCCTGTGGTGGGAGACGGCGGACATAGCCAGACCTTCGGAGCGCTGACCGGACTGGGGTCACGCTGTCCGCTCTGACTCCCTGCGAGTCAAAGCGGTCTGGGCTATCAGAGATCTGATGTGATCGAGCACGTGGTGCACTGCTGACCCTCCTGAGGAGTAGGGTCCCAGTGGCGATGCAGCCATAGCTGCATCTTCTCAAAGGTTATCATCGTCTGGACTTCATCTACATCAGCGACCGTTGGCGCTGAGCTTCTTCTTCATCATTTGGATGGCGATTGGCTCTGGGAGCCTGTTTCACTTTGGCGCAGGCCACTGAGTTGGATGTCAGGGTGGCGCTGGGTGTTACCTGGGGTTTCAATGCTATTTTTAGCGGTTCAGGCTGTTGGGATTGAGGCGCTACCCCTCTGAGGGTAGCACAACAGGATTCTGAGGTCATTCAGGGAAAACAATGCTCTGAGTTGAATAAACAGTTGTAATACTGTGTTTGAGTTGTCATCTCTTCATTGATTTCTGGCTGTGACCACTCGGTTGTCTTCTATGAATGATTGTTGGGATTACTATGGAGAGAATTCACTGCACATGTGTATTCTGTCACTTCGATTCTCTGAGTCTTCCGCTGCATTTCTTTTCAAAGCGGTGTGACCCTCCACTACCTCTCCCCTTCCTTTTGTGCATGTATGGGCGTGTACGGGAGTTCCTGTGAGTGAGTGTCGATAAAATTTCAACAGACAATCATGTTCATAACAGTTGGTATCGGAGCAGATCGGACCTAGACAGTGGCGAGATGATGGACTGAGGCAACCATCACTATCTGAGAGCTTCTGACGTGAGGTTTCGTGGAGAAATCGCATCTTCAGGATTGCGCTCCGTAGGGTGTTGGTGAAGAGTGTGTGGCGGCTGGTATGACACAGAGATTGGTGGCGATTCAGTGCTTAGTGGCCTGGGAGGCACTGAGGGGCTATTTTTAGCCCAGGCGTTGACTTTGTTGGTGGTGAGATACCTGGGGGTATGTTGAGTTTCAGATTCTGGGCCAGATCCAGTGAATCTGACTAGTGGGGATTGATCGCCATATCAAGAGCTTCAGTATCACCAAGTTTCACGAGATTTGGAACGTGGGAGCACCAGGAACAGTGAATTGAAGAAACTGGCGAGATGGCAGCCACAGCCAGTTCAACTTCTTCTTCCAGTGTTTTGCCCTGAAGTAAGTGTGTTCCTTACTCAAGTCCCTGTAGCGAGTCTGATAGTTGTGATTAGACTGGGGAGATTGCAATTGTATGTCTGTAGACAGAAAAAAGTGAAAATCGCACTGCCTGACAGCCATAGTCATTTCCCTTACCTATCCACTTTGACTTCTACTCAATCTGTTTGACCTTCCCTCTGTCTCAAATTTCATCTCAGACTGTGTTACAATATTGCGATTCAGTTTACACTGTGAATTAAGTAGTTCAGGGTTTGTATGTCAGTGAAACTGAAATTCTAAAAGTTGCGCTGCCATAGCCGTGCTTGGGGCAGCTAGGGTTTGTCATGTCTTAGGTTCTGTCCGTCAGAATTTCAGTCTGTCAGTCACCCTGAAATCGCAATTCAGTATTGAGTCAGTGTCTGAAAGCGCTATACAGGATTTGATGTTTTGAGTCAGGTACAGTGATATATGTACTTCGCCTCACCTATGGTGGGGCATACAGGGTCCTACAGTGCCAGTGTCAGTAGTAGGAGTCTAAAAATAGCTTGATCAGTCATCCGCTGCATCTTGGTTGACTACTGGGGTTTGTTAATTGCTACTGACTCTCTGCGCTATTCTAATCTGTCTACTTACAGTCCAAGGTCGCATCCTGTCTAACTATCTGACAACGATTCTGGGGTTGTTGCACTCAGATGAGGGTTTTTGGTTGTAAATGAAAAATCGCAAGTCTGATTTTATCTGGGATTGCCCTAAACTGACCCAGAACAGCCCTCAGCGGCCCACAGAGGCTGAGCGCTCTTCTGCCCTTTACACCACGTCTCTTCTCATCAGGTGGCAGTGATTACATCAGTGTGTGTGTGTAATCCTAATCTCTGCTGACCTTG